GTCCGGTGTAGTAGTATGGACTGAGAAAGTACAGGAGGCGAGTTGGGATCCTGCCTGTTCTAATCCTCTCTCTGACAAAGGATCCCTTAATCTTCTCTGGTGAATTTTCATGTATAGGAAAAAGGAGAAAGGTCACTTTTCATGTAAATGTCCAATGAAAAGGGAGACAGTGTGTGCTGGATCCTCTCCTGCCTGCTCTGTCTTAGCAATGGCAGAACACATGTAGGGGAGCTGGTTGCCAGTCTTAAGCTTGGCAGGAAAGTTGTTCTCTGCTGCATGAAGAACTTCCTGCAGTTGAATGAGTGAGGACTCTCACCTTGTTTGCTTCATGATGCAGAGGCTTAATCTGAGACAGGTTGTCCTACAGGTGACCTTCAAAAACATGAGTGACAAGTGGTTTATCATGATAAATTTGAGTGCTTCTGACATGCAGATGGGTCTCTCCATCCCGATTCTTTCCTCTAAAACTAAAAAGATCCACCACCTGTCTTCCAATATGTAATTACTTGCAGCGTGTTGGTTTTGTTCATGTTTGTAGTTGCAGATTAAAGTTGTCTGGTGTGGCTTTTTTAGCTGGTGGAATACTGGAGGAAGAAGGTTAGATGGAAGCCCTTTAAAATATTTAAAAGGGACCAAATCCAATTCTCCTTCCTTGAAGTTTTGGTGAGACTGAGAACTAAAAGCAGATATAAAAATGCATAGTTCACTTAATAGCTTTTCTTCTAGTTCAAGCAACTTAAGTCAATTTTCCATGTTGTGGTAAACTTATAACTAAATCTTTATTTACAGTTGATCAGCTTCAGTCATAGCTATGGATTTATAAAGTGTTATGAGAAATATTTTTCAAAGGCCATAAGGGAGAAAATAAGAGTAAGGACTTTTAATACTTTAAGCAAAGCACTTCCATAGTAGTAATTGTAGCATAACACAATAGTGGTGAAAAGTGAAGAGTTTTCCTTTTTGTTTTTTTATTCTGTTTTTTGTTTTCATTCTTTTCAAGCAGGGTTGGTTATAAATGTATTTGATGCCAGTCCCATTTGGCTGTGAGCACTGGCATATCCGTTCAATTTGTTGACTGCCCTCTTGCATAACATAGCTGGGTGCAGTGTATGTGTGTTGCTGAACTGGCAAATTGATGAAGAAAAAGTTTAACATTATTTACCAACCAGTCTTAACACAGACTGAGAAACATGAAATAAAAATAGAACAGAATTCAAAGCAACTACAGGGCAGACTCAGAAACTTGCTAATGTATGCTGGGATGTGTCAGGCAGGGGGTGTAGCAAAATCTATTCTGTAAACATGTGTGTGATGGCTGAGAAAAAAGAAAGTGTGGAGCCAGAGCGATAGCTGCAAGTCTGTAGATGTCTCAGGCAGCTGTGTGGTTTGTATGCTTCAACAAAATATTTTAGGATTATAGGGTGCATTGCTAATTAAGCAGTAAAGCTTCATATGTATCACTTTGTGAGATGAAATAAAGCTTCTGAAAGATGCCTCTCTGCTTCCTTTGATTTTTATTGTTGGAATAAATGACAGATAGTTGTCAGACTGGTGTCTGCTTGCTTAACAGGAGGTTGGATTACCCATCCTGCTCTGTCTCCTGCTTTTTGAGCTACAGTTTCAAAGGAAGGATGCTTCTTATATGTGAATGTAGTAAATGTTTTGAGAAGTTTTTCAGGTTAAGTTCTCTTATTCAAATAACAAAATCAACACTATCACTGATATATTTTTTTTTAATTCTATTCTTTATATCCTGTGCCTATTACTGTTCTAGCATCTTTTTTGAGCTAAGTGTTTGTAAGATTTTCTTAGTCAGTTTCATGGGGGATATATACCTACTCTTGGACTTTTTGGTTTTGTTTTTTGTTTAAGATGTTAGTGTTTTTGCCATTCTTCTGATTGAAGTTGATATCAAAGAATTTGGCAGCTTGGAGCAGGTTATGTTTCAGCTATATCTATGATACTGAAATATCTAGGTTATGATGTGAAACTCATGCATATTCTTTTTCACTTAAATGGTTTCACTGCTGCATTTGACTTAGTTTTTCTTTTGAACTTTTGTTTATATGGAAAAACAGCAGTTGCTTTGCAGGCTTTACTTTGTAATTTGCTGGGAAATAATGGCTTCCTTTCCATTTGATCAGATTGATTTCTCTCCCAGACTTGCTGTAGTTGGATAAAATAATGCATTCTAGTGTGATTTGTTACAAAATGCCCGTGTCATCTCCCAGAGACTTAATAAATCTGAAGGAAATTAAAGTAATCTTTTAGTATCACCCTTTCCTTGGGGTTTAGAACTGGAAGCTGTTGGATAAACCCTTTTAAGTCTTGAATACCTAGTGTATGGATAAACATTTAAGAATGATGTCCTAAAAAGATGGAAAAGTGAAAAATTAAGTGAAAAAGTTTTAAAAAGGGCAATCTCTCTTCTCTTTCTAAGGATTTGTGTATGTAATTCCTTCCCTTCCTGGTCCTGAGGTTGTTCTTGTGGAGTTTGTAATTGAAGGGTGATTCTTTAAGTCATCCTTTCCTTTTTGTGTGTGTGTGTGTAACTAATGTCAGGAAAAAAGGACATTACTAACTTGTGACAGTTATAAAAAATTAAAATGAATTTGTTTTCTCAATTAGAAGAATAAAGATAGTGATTGTTGAGTGTGTATTCTTTGGACTCTTAACTATATAAATGTTATGCTTGGCTTAGTTTCAGAACTGAAGTGTGGAAATCGAATTAAATAATATTTGTAGAAGTCTTTTGAGTAAAAATGAAGCTTTTTTAGAACATCACTTTGAACTCATCAGTGCTGTTTGTAAAAGCACTTTGTCCTTTACCTGTGCAGCACCTCTAACGGGCAGACCTGCCTATTTGCTACTTCTCTCTTTTTCCATATTGGGGAAAGAAAGAAAAGAAAAAAAAAAAGACATATCAACAGCCTATTAAAAATTATTTTTCAGTGTTGTCAATTCTTACTTTACTATTTTCTTTCCAATGAATAGAGCCCATTTAATGTATTAAACCAGATGTGGGTGTAATTATACATTGAAATCTTAAATCAAGACTGTCTAATATTTATGCTGACTTCAGTTTAATGTTTTCTGTGGAACAGAGCACTTCTGTGGAGACCCACCTTTTTGGGGGTAACTGAGTAAAATACAAATGCTTAAATTTTTGCTGCTAACTGTCAGCATGAATAGTAAAGCTACTGCATGGGAGCTGTTCCTGAGAACATCTGCCCAGAGCCTGAGCTCTGTAAGGGATGAGAACTCAAGCAAGTCATTGCGAGACAGATGAATAAGGGGTGAATTTACTGTCAGGCAAGTGCTGTGCTGTTCCCAGCAGTGTGAATGCTTTTATATCGTGGAGCTGACTTGCTGCCTGTGTTAACTTATGTCCTGGTAGTTGTTGTGTACCTGGACCCATAATGCTTATCAACTTGCTAGCAAACGGTGTTGTACTTTCAGGTGGCAGGCTGAAGAGTTGGGACAGCATCCTGCAGCTTTTGTGGTGGTGACCTGGTCACTAGTCAGACACATGCTATGTTAACTAGATCTGTTTCTGTAACAGGTATGAAGCAAAGACACACCAAAGGCTAGTTGGGTGAAGAGAGGGCTAGGAGTACTGCACTAACATCCTTCACTAAGCAAGGTTTCTGGCTGAAATAGCCTAAAAGGACACACAACGGAAATTTTTAATACCTGCTCTTACGGATAGTGTTGAAACATCTTTTTTTTGTCTCACACCTCTCTCTATTCCATGTTCTCTTTATACACTTCTTTTTCTCGTCATAAATGTTAAACATTTTGCCTGCATTTCCTTGGAATTGTTCTTCATAATGCTGCCAAAAGTGACTTACCCAGCTCCTTTCAACCCCTTGTGAAAAGAACATTGCAGAAATCTTGCTCCTCAAACCCAGCAGTGAATCTACATTTACACACATATTTAAAATGCAGCCCTATTCAAAAGATTTCTTTTCAGTGCAGTGCCTAAACTGAGTTGTTTGGGGTGGGAATTGTTTTTATTCTCTGTTCTATATAGCCCAGATCCACATGTGGATTTCCTGGACTGGATAGTTTTGGTAGGAAGTATACCCTGTGCTGTTACTTACGGAGAGTTTGGTTCTGAGTGGCTGCTGTGAAGCTATGGTGGTGTGACAAGCCAGCAAGGTAGTCCCATGAGTAAGTCTCTGAAGGGAAGGTGCTGATCCTTCTGCTGTGTCTGCTATTGGAACTGAGCCAGGTGTGGTTAGTTCAGAAATCTTCCCTGAACAGAGAGAGATTGACACTCTTCTCTGTCTGTGAAGGCACAGAGTGGCTTGTGCAAGAGGGGGCAGTTGGGAAGCTCAGGAGGAAAATCACTATTCTTCCCTGTATGGATTCTTGTCTGGGGAAGGAGCATTATTGTGCCTGCTAGAGGAGGAACTGTAATACAGATCCAAAAAAAGTTGCCCAGGAGCCTAACTGCAGTTGAAGGCAGAGGGAATTGCATCAGCTTTTCTGCCAAGGAAGCTGCTCATCCCACCTGAGACCTGTAAAATTAATACATCTGCTGGGAAGGAGAATTCCAGTAACCACCAGTCTTGGTCAAAGCTTGTTCTGCTGCATGTGAGGACGCAGTGTTAACTTCGTGGGAGTTCATAATCAACAGTTATGTAATTTATTAATCTAAACTAACTACTGAACTACTCTTTTTTAAAAAAATTATTAATATATTGTCATGCTAGAACTTCCAGGAGTTTGTTTTTCCCTGCTAGATTTCCCTATTCCCTAAGAAATACACAAGCACTGATTTGGCAGGGTTTTTTATTTTATTTTATTTTCTGTAAAGAAAAAGGTACGAATTCAAGTCTGGCCTTTAGTTTTAGATGAGGTTATCTTAGCGGAAGTGACCTGTTCCCAGTTTTTGTGGCCAGCTTATTGGTGTGACCTGAAATTGCAGAGTATTCACTTGCTTCTAATCTTGTAGCTAAAGTTACTAAGTGTAGTTTTGTCTTTTTCTTGTAGTAATGAATGTTATAACAATTGAAGACTATAAGAGCACATATTGGCCAAAGTTGGACAGTGCCATAGATCAGCTTTTAACTCAGAGTCCTGGTGACTACATCCCTATCTCCTATGAACAAATATACAGGTAAGGAAATCTTAAGTGTTACATTACTTTTTTTTTCTTTGAAGTTAAATGTTTGCTTTATCTCACAACTTGTGCATATGTCATATTTTATGAGGAGGAAAGTGGAAAGGTTATGTGAAGTACAGTATTGTTTAAATGGCTGGAATGAGTGAATAATAGATACATATCTTGACATCCCATGTTATTGGGAATAAATGCTAAAGAATTAAAATGCATAAGTGCTGAAAACATTAACGTTAAAGTAAGCTCCACCACAGTTGCTTAGTGTAATATATGAAGAAATATATTAAAGTCTCAACATCCCTTTCCTCAAAGGGGGAGAAGAGACTGTCATGGTAGGCGTTTGACTTCATGTTTCAAAAGGCTTCTTTGCCATGTCTGATAGGAACCAGTTTGGTGCAGCAGAAGTCAATAGAAGCAGCTGGTGCCAAGGCCCATCCACAGAAACTGTCGCTTGCGTGTTTTGCATCAGGTAGATTTGGTCTGATTTTCCCCCTTGCCCAGCCATCCCACTGCATGTGCAGTGAGAGGCTGTCTGAAGGACTGGCACGAAGTTCAGTCCTTTTCATCTCCATTCTTGTCTGGAGAACGTTTGATTTGTACCTGGCCTGGAGCTGCAGTTTACTTTGCTTTAAAATTTAGTCGCACACCAGAACTGCCCGGCAGACTAAGCTGGTGCACAGTGGTGGGGATGGCAGGGGATTTGCTTCAAAACCACACTGCTGCTCCAAACCAAAATGCTAAGTGCTTTAAAGACCTGGCAGTTTCTCATGAGATTGACTAAAATTCAGATTTTTTTGGTCAGTGACAGGCATCCAGGGTGTTGGTGAATAGGATGGAAACTGGGTTGCTGCTGCTGCTGCATTTACTGGCCAAGATGCTGTTAAAACTACTGGCCCTTGCCAGCAACGCAGCGAGTAGCAGTGCTGTCTTGGGTTTCTTTACCAGTATTGCACTCTGTGAAATAACACTGGCAACTCAGTCACTGATTGCCATTTTTAGAGGCTTTCAGCTCTATTTTCTCCTGCCCAGTTGCTCTCAGCCACTCTGTCTGTTGAGTTTGAAGCTTTGCATTAGGAACCAGATTCAAGAACTGCAGGTGTTCAGTCTTCCCTCTTAACTCCAGTTACAAACTTTAATAAATTTTCCTCTTTCCTCTCCAAACCTTTGGAACTGCTGTTGTCAGGACTCAAAAATCAGCATGTGTATCAGTAATTGAGATGGTAAATTTGAATTGAGAGACATTTTGCAGCGTTAGTGTAAGTAATCAAAATCCTTTTCCTAGCTTGAAATCCACAACGTGTGAACAGCCGTCAGTAAGAGTTAAGCCAACATCTCACCATATTAATCTCTGATAAAGAGGAGGTGGGCAAAATTAATGCTTTAATACCTAGAGTAGATCTGCACCTAGTTAATGATTTTCAGGTAACTGCAGTTTATCTTTTCTATCTTTTTACTGCTCAGAAGTTTTATTTTTAAAGGAATAATGGGTTTGAAGTTTCTTGTAGATAACCTGTCACATCAGGGTGACACTTGATGCAGTATTGTAGTGATGCGCAGATGTCTGTTGCATGTATTTTGCCAAAACAAAAATTATCTGTAGCTTAGTGTTACTGATAAAGCTAGTGTGTCAGTTTTTCTTCTAAAAATTATGTCTGTGGATGTAATTACTCTGACACAGCCACTTCCACCAAGGAGGTTTTTTCTTTAAATTTTATTTTAGAGGATGTCCCTTTGCTTGATTTATAATCTAGGCAACATAGATTGAAGATGGAAGAAAAGATGGAAGAAAAACTGCCTTTTTTTTTTTTTTTTTTTTAATTTAATGATGCTGCTTGCTTGGAGTACTGCAGAAAGTCTGTAGCAGACTTGAGGTTTGGATCCTCTCTGCTTCCCTAGGCTAGTTCTTTAGTCTGAAAATGAGGTGGTTTTTGAAGTGGTTCAAACAGCTACATATCTTTTTAAAATTGTTTTTTACAGTGAAACTGAGCTGAAAAATACAGTGGTCTTTTTGATCATCTTTGTGCTGACTGAAGGAGTCCAGGTTTCCATAATGCAAACACATAATATATTGTTAGATACCCAAACTACTGTATCTGACATGGTCAGTGATAACTGTAGGTGTCTACTCCACAGCAGTGAATGCTAGGAGATAACTTCAGAGGTGTGTATGCAGATGCTTACTACGGGTCAGTTTACCCGTAAGGTATCAAAGTGTGATTAGTGACTGTTTTCATCTTTGAGTCCAAAGCCTGTTCCTAGTCACTTCCTATTAACAGGGTTCAATATATTGACAAGAGAGATGTGAAGGAAACTTTGAGATGAGGAAAATGTGAACAGCTAAGTTGTAGTTCTGGCAGCTGTTACAGCTGCCTCCCAGGTACAATGCAATTAGGTTGCTGTTCTTCAAGACAACAGATCTGAGATCTTCATCCCTCTCAATAAATGCTTCCCTTCTAATGTCCTGCTTGGGTCACCATTTCCAAAGGTGTTTGGTTATGCTGAAGGACTAAGAAGCTGCTGACTTCTTTTGGGTAATAGCAGGGCAAGAATGATTCAGAGAATCAGCTCACAATCAGGAACTGAAAAGAGGATGTGAAAATGGGGAAGGGGCCTCTAAATAGAAGTGTTCAAATGAAATGTAAACACACTTTGCACGTACATGCAGAGATTGGTGTTTGACCACAGTATGTGTTGCAGAAGTAGGTATAGCAATACTGTATGTAATACCATAAAATTCAGTTTATTTACATCATTGCAAATGAAGTGGTCAGCTCGGGGAAGCGGATGTATTCTGGTTAGTTATGGAGCAAACAAACATATGGCTGTTTGCTGTGGTTACCTGGCTGACTGGTTTGTAAGAGATCACAAAAACCAATCTGGCTTTTCTTACTGGTTTTTCTCTTTTTGATCTAAATTAAATTGATATTTTCGCTGTTACTGCATCATACCAAGATGTCTTTTGCACTTGCTTGTTTTTAGGATCTGTTCTTGGTAGACTTCATGTGAAAAAAAACTCCAAAATGACTTTGACTGTTAAATCAAACTACAGATACTCTATTTTTGAAATATAATGAATTGTAGGAGAGGTCTGGAGTATCTTTCGATTTTTATGAAATAGCATGTTTTGACAAGTGAGCAGACTTTGCATTTGGATGAATGCTGTATTTTTGGGGGTTTTTAAGTTGTCAAAGGAAATAAATAAAAACTTCTGAAAGTTACTGATACTTGTAACACCTTCCTCCAGAAGACTTGGAGGCTGGCAGTTACTGAATGAGAGCACTGTCTTGGCCCCTGTAGGCCTGGAGTTGGTGCGTAACCTCTCACTTGCATTAGAAAATTCCAATATCCCATAGTCTGTGGTTGTTTTAATCCCATCTTTGCAGTTTGTTTGTCATTGTACCACCTTCTCAGCTGAGAATTGGAATGTCATAATTCCCCTGCTGAGACACAGTGTTGCTGTACCATAGCTCCAGGCTTTCGGTGCCATTAAAAACCTGCAGAATTCAAGTCTGGGACCTGGACCTTGCTAGTTTGTTTGCACATGCCCTAAGGAGCAGTCTCTGGCCTTAGTTGCTCTCTGTCACAGTACTCCATAGAGAGAGATGGAGGAAGAGGGGAACAAAACAGAGGTATGGAGAGAAGATTTGCCTTACCCAAGATGCCGGGTGAAGTCTTCCTGTGCCTCTTGATTATTGTCAGGGAGCTGTCAAAATGCTGACTTCAAAGAATGGAGGCACTCCAGAGGAGTAAAAGCTGTGTGGTACAGATAATGGTGGTGTTGGTGCTGATGATGATGACTACCTTAATATAACTACTTGCTGAAAGTAATATATGTATTTGTTTTACAACTGTGGTAAACATGTTTTCAATACATTTTGCAGGTATGTTATGTTGCAGTATGAGAGCAATAAAATGTTCTTAAAAAAACAAAGGTAGCACTGAAGACCAGAGTTAATACAGCCAAGCCATGCAATGTTGAATTCAAGTTTTGTTGCTCTTTCTCTGCATCTTTGTTTATTATGAAAATACAGGGTTTTCTGAGAATTTAAGTAGCAAAAGAATGAAGTAACATGCTTAGAATTTCTGCCATTTCTTTGTAAAATACCAGCACAGTTTTGGTGCAACTTCTATGACTGCTTGTCAGTGTTGCCCTTCTTTTAAAAAGAGTTTTGCCCTAGAATATGCATGTAATCCTTAAACCTGCTTATTTTAATGGAGATTTCATTCACATAGGAGAGACAAAAGTCAGGATTAGGAGTGTGCTGTTGACAGAGTTGTCCTGGCTGTTCTGAAGTGCGATATAAGAGAACTCATTGTAAGTTAAAGTGAGGTCGGGGAGGGGGAATGGGACGGACACACTGGGGCTTCCAGAGAGACTTAAGAGTCTGCTGGAGCTCATTCCAGGCTTAGGACTGTATTTAAAAGTTCAGCAATCATTCAGTTAACTCTATAATAATCCTCTAAATTGAGACTTGAACAAAATATTTTGAAGTCTGTTACCCTTCATTGCAAACTGTTGTAAGTTCATTGTTTGTTCCTATATTTGTTTCTGCAGTTGTGTGTATAAGTGTGTATGCCAGCAGCATTCGGAACAGATGTATAGTGACCTAATAAAAAAGATAACTAACCACTTAGAGAGAGTCTCAAAGGAGCTGCAGGTAAGAAGCTGCACAATCTAATTCTGTCTTTCCTGGGATCTATGATTATATCAGAGCAGCATGTAGATGGCCCATGGAGGGGATTGCCATTAAGACTGATTTACACTAGCTTACTAAATTGTGCGCTACTGCATTCACTAACTGGCTGTCAGACAGAATACCAACTGCTAGATCCAATTGTACGACACTGATTAGCCTCAGAGATCTGAACCACGTGGAGAGCAGTGGCTAAACTTGAACATGTAATATGGAATCAAAGATTAGAGAATGGAAAATCTACAGTGTAATCTAGGATGTAAATGCTTATGGTCCGTGTGCATCACAAGCAGCACAAATCTAAAGGGAAAAATTGAAGTGAATTAAATACGAATTATGGAGTATAAATTAGAAATTGTTGCATATGAACGTTTTGTGCTACAGTTTATTCTGCATTTTTCTTGCCTATCTCTAGATGTCAGTGGTTTACAGCAGTCCTAATACAGTTTGAATATCCCTATCCTTCTCTGCGTCTTATTTGTGCATCCATGTTTGCTTTCATGTGTGTTCTGTGTTGAAAATTCCTTTTAGGCTAGAATCTCCAGGCATGTTCTTGAAA